CCTCCCAGTTCAAAAACAGCCAAGCCAAAAGAGGCCTACAGACAGCCCTCCACTTATCTCCAAAAGCTGCCTCCAAGATCTGCTCAGGATGAAAGGCTTCCTCTTCCTCCTACTCACCATAAGTCTCCTGGTTATGACACAGGTAAGAGCAGACCCTCAGAGTCCCTGGCACCACTGCCAGGATTCCCCAAACCTCCTTGGCATGGGACAAGAAAATGCAGGCTCCCAGAGACTCAATCTTCTTCCCAGGCTCCCACAGGGAAGCAGAGACTCAGGGGCCTGGTGGGCCAGCCTTCCAGCCCTTTTGGCTGGGCTGGACGGTTTGAGGGCTGCCCTGATAGGAGCCTGTATCTGCAGATAGGGAGTACTTAGAGGGTGCCAGGCACACTGGGGCACCCCAGGGGTGCAGTGGGATAATAGAGAATTAAGAGGCTGGGGGAGACAGCTCTGAGTGAGGGTGGCATCGATCTAGAGGAGCCTGGAAAAATGGTCCAGGGGGAGCCTGGAAAAATGGGGTCCTGGAGCTGGTAGGGAATACCCCCCACCCACCGCTGGAGAAAACCCTAGATACTTGGGAATGCAAAGAATACAGAACTCTCCCACTTCAGAAACAGCTGGAGTCTCAAAACCAGCTGCTATTCCAGGAGGGGATTAGTCAATGTAGGAGACTGGAAGTGTCAAGTTCTTGATCAAGACCAGCTTGATCACCATCAAAAACAGCTTAACCTCTATCAACAACTGCTCTGCTTACAGCTTGATCAGGCATGATGGATAGCTTGATCACCATCTGGTCACTTCCCCATCCCCCATGTCCACCCATCTACACTTTGCCAAGTGCCTTGTCACTCAGACTTGGCTCATGTGACCTTCACAATTGTGATGCACACCTTCACAATTGTGATGCACTCCTTCCCACTCAGAAGACAAGGAAACAAGCTCAGAGAGGATATCCTTGGCCTTACCAGGATAGTAAGGCCAAGGGCTGGGGCTACCCTGTCTCCCTCGATGCCAGAGGGGCTGGTGACCTGAGAAGGGTGAAAAGAAAGGTTCTTTGGTGGGGGACAGAATCTACCTCTGTCCCTGTTAGTGTCAAGAGAGGAGGCAGCAAACATGCCAACAGGACCTTGTGGCAGAAGTAGTGGTCATGTGGGACAGAAGTGAGGACTGTTTTATGGAAGTACCAGGGATGGAGGGTGGTGGGGCTGGACTGTATCTTTATACTATTATTATTATTTTTTGAGTTAGAGTCTCACTCTGTTGCCGAGGCTGGAGTGCAGTGTCATGCTCACAACCACCACAGTGTCAACCTTCTGCCTCAGCCTTTCAAGTAGCTGGAACTCCAAGCACACACTACCATGCCCGGCTAATTTTTCAAATTTTTTATTGTAGAAACGAGGTCTCAAACCCACAGGCTCAGGCAATCTCATTGCCTCGGCCTCCCAAAGTGTTGGGATTATAGGCTGAGCCACCAAGCCCAGCCTATATTATTATTTTATTTATTTATTTATTTATTGAGTTGGAGTCTCACTCTGTCACCCAGGCTGGAGGGCAGTGGCATGCTCCCAGCCACCACAGCCTCAACCTGGTGGGCTTCTGCGATCCTTCCGCTTCAGCCTTTCAAGTAACCAGAACTACAGGCGTGCGCTACCACGCCCAGCTAATTGTTTTGTTTGTTTGCTTTTTGAGTTGGAGTCTCACTCCGTCGCCCAGACTGGAGTGCGGTGGCCGCTTCCGGCCACCGCAGCCTCGACCTGCTGGGCTCCGGCGATCCTTCTGCCTCAGCCTTCCAAGTAACTGGAACTACAGGCACGCGCTACCACACCCGGCTAATTTTTTTTTTTTTTATTTGTTGTTGAGATGAAGTCTCACCAAGTTGCCCAGGCAGGTCTGGAACCTCTGGGCTCAGGCAATCCATTCACCTCAGCCTCCCAAGGCGCAGGATTACAGGCTGAGCCACCGAGCCTGGCCAATTTTTTTTTTTTTTATTGTAGAGAAGAAGTCTCACCAAGTTGCCCGTGGGCTCAGGCAATCCTCTCACCTCAGCCTCCCAAAGTGCTGGGATTATAGGCTGACCCACCGAGCCTGGCCTATATTATTATTTTTGAAGAGATAGAAGCTGGGCTCAGTGGCTCAGCCTGTAATCCCACACCTTGGGAGGCTGAGGTGAGTGGATTGCCTGAGCCCACGGGTTCAAGACCCACCTGGGCAACTTGGCAAGACCTCATCTCTACAATAAATCAAAAAACTAAAAAAAATTAGCCAGATGTGGTAGCGCGTGCCTGTAGTTCCAGCTACTTGGAAGGTTGAGGCAGAAGGATCACTGGAGCCCAGCAAGTCGAGGCTACGGTGGCTGGGAGCGGCCACTGCACTCCAGTCTGGGTGACAGAGTGAGACCCCAACTCAAAAAAAAAAAAAGAGATAGAATCTTGCTATATTGTCCAGATTGGAATACAGTGATGCGATCATAGCTCACTGTGACCTTGAACTCCTGGGCTCAAGTGATCCTCCCACCTCAGCCTCCTGAGTAGCTGGACTACAGGCACACAGCACCATGCTTGGCTAATTTTGAATTTTTTGAAGAGATGAGGTTGCACTATGTTGTCCAGGCTGGTCCTAAATTCCTGGCCTCAAGTGATCCTCCTGGCTCAGCCTCTCGAAGTGCTGGGATTACAGGCACCAGCCACACCTGGCCATGTCTTTTTTTTTTTTTGCGTCTTACTCTGTCACCCAGGCTGGAGTGCAGCAGCACACTCAGGGCCACCCGAGCGTTGATCTGCTGGGCGCTGGTGAACCTTCCACCTCAGCCTTCCAAGTAGCTGGAACTACAGGCACGCGCTACCACGCTCCGCTAACGTTTTGATTTATTGTAGAGACGAGGTCTTGCCAAGTTGCCTGGGCTGGTCTCTAACCCATGGGCTCAGGCAATCCGTTCACCTCAGCCTCCCAAAGTGCTGGGATTACAGGCTGAGTCACCAAGCTGGGCCTCATGTGTCTTTAAGTAACAAACATGAGATTCCAAAGTTCCCTGACTTCCCCTACTTCTCTTGCAGATACAAACTGGAGTCTTGGGAAACCATACCACGGCCAACAGTGCGGTCCCAGCATTCAGCAATGTGGGTGGAGGCAGTTTCCTTTTCTTCTTGATCAACACCCTCATTCCCCTCTTCCATCTCAGCTGAGGTGACACACCTCAGCCCTAGCCTTGCGGCCCCTGAAACAGCTGCCACCCTCACTCCCAAGAGAATCCTTCCTCATCATTGGTAGGGATTGCTGCCAGACATCGCGAGGTTGTGGAGAGTGACTGACAGTGCCATGGAGGCAATGGCCAAAACGGGGAGGTACTGATGTGGAGGGGCAAGCAACACCCAGCTGGGCCTCAATAAAGTTACCATGTGTGTGGAGTGGGGTCCTATGTGTGGTCACTGGACAGCCCCAAGTCCCAAGAGCCAGGTTTGCAGCAGCAGCAAGGAGGTTCCCATGCCCCCATCAGCAGGAAAGGTGGCACCAGGGAACTCCGACGCCAGCTTCCCCACCCAGAGTCCAGTGCTGAGGGCCTCTCTCTTAGAGTCACCTTGCAGGGACAATGCCCAGAACCTGGCATCCTCACCAACCCCTCCAGTTGCATTTGCTTTACCTGTCCCCGGGGTGTCTGGGAATGATGGTCCCAGAAATCCCACCATCCTGCCCCCAGGCCCAGAAAGCCCCTACCCAACAACCTGGGTGTCCTCAGAATGACAGGCCCAGGAATATCCTTAGTCCAAAGGACAACCCCCCCAGTCTCTGAGTTCCCAGAAAAACAGCCTCACAATTATCTGGTGGCTGGAGAAGGATGGTGGGCAGCTGTCTACTTCTCTATCCATGGGCTAGCAAGGCAGGAAGGACAAGCAGCTGCTCTTGTCCCCTCTCCTGGGCTTGAGGTGCTGGAGTTGGGGGCTGCAGAGAGGGAAGGGAGCCCCAGAGCAGCTCCCAAGGACCCCTCCCAGCTAGGCCTCCTCCCCGAGGACCAGTGGCTGGGAGGGATGGTGGCAGAGGGAGCTCTTCCTCTTCTGTGTCCTGTGCTCTCTGAGCTGGGTAAGGGATTCTTTTTTGGGAGGGGGGGTTGGAGTCTCGCTCTGTCGCCCAGACTGGAGTGCAGTGGCCGCTCCCGGCCACCGCAGCCTCGACCTGCTGGGCTCCGGCGATCCTTCCTCCTCAGCCATCCAAGTAGCCAGAATGACAGGCATGCGCTATGATGCCCGGCTGATTTTTTGATTTATTGTAGAGATGAGGTCTCGCTGCCCAGGCGGGTCTCGAACCCGCGGGCTCAGGCAATCCACTCACCTCAGCCTCCCAAAGGCGCGGGATTACAGGCTGAGCCACCGAGCCTGGCTAGGGATTCTTTAACTGAGACCAGCAACCAGCGTTGGGGGGAGTGGAGCAGGGCCCAGGGGACACAGCCCTTTGGGAGTGGCTCCTGTTCATCTCGTCTTGCCTGGCCCACGGTGCCCCATCACACTGAACTTCAAAGTGTTCACCCCTGGACTTGTCTGATCCCTAGAACATTTTGCCTCTGCCTTCTCCATCCTCTACATCTCGGTGGAGGGTCCCTCCTCCAGGCAGTCTGCCTTGCACCCTGGGATGGTTTAGGCTCCTCCTGCGCCATGCATCTCTCCCCTTCTGTTCTTACCCTGTCATGGAGGTATCACCCTACCCGTCGGAATCCTCCACTGGACTGTGAGTTCCACGAGGGCGGGGGCCAAGAGGCTAAGTTCGTGTCTGCGCTCCCACAGCCCAGTGCCAGACCCGGCTCCGAGCAGGCTCTGAGAACACATCATCTGGATGACTGAGAAAGGCGGAACTCCCCTGTTAGTCTGGTCCCAGGGCTCCCTCTGGTGGCAGAGAGAGGCATTACATCCGAGCCCCAACGCCGGAGTCCAGAGAGAAGCCAGTCTGAGTGCAGGCAGGAAAAGAGGACAAATCCCCACCCCACCCCCAAACACCAAGGTGCACAGAGACGAAGATACTCGGCAGCATAATAGAAAATAGCTTATGTTACGACAAAAAACCTACAAAAACACTGATCCCAGCCAAAGCCTTCGGGGCTGGGGAGGGGAGTTTCAAAGCACGTGGATAGTCCAGATCTGGGACGCCCTCTCCTTGTCCGGCTCCCACAGCACCACGTGGTCCCGGTCGTAGCCTCGTCCACCTGGGGGTGGGGTGAGGGTTAAGAGATGGAGAGACGGTCACAGAGAGCTGGGACTCCATGGTCCTCAGCCCTCTCAGGGCCCCGCTTTCACGCACATCCCACGTTACCTTTCACATCCAGGATCTGGCCTTCGAACATCTGGCTGCAGATGTGGCCTGCTTCACTGATGCTCCACTTCTGGCGCGGAAGGCGGCTCTCAGCCCACAGCACCACCTTGGAGCCGGGGCTGGGGGGTCCAATCACCTGCAGGCTCATGGTGGGGGCCGCCTGAGGCCCCAAGAGGCTGTCAAGCACTGTTCCTCCCCACAGGGACTCTATCATACCCAAGAAACACTTGACACATCCAACTGGGAATCCTGGCTTTTATGGACTGTGACCCTGGACAA